GGAACACCCCTCCAGCAGGCACATGCTGCCTAACCTACAGGAGGCCTGCCAAAACCACAGAAAGGGGACAGCACCTTCGCCCACAGCCCCACTGAGACATGCACGCACGGAGTCTGGAACGCACGTTACCTTTCCTCCAATCATAATAGTCCTGGGCACAAAGGATTTGGATGGATCGTTCCTGATGCCTGAAAAAGTAGGGCATAACACAACCCAAGTGAAAATACAGTGGACAGAGGTTATCACATGCATCAGAGGTGGGCTGGGATTCCCAGCCCATGTCACATGGACCCAGCAAACTTGCAGGGCCCTGAAGCCCAACCAGACATCTGCCAGAGCTGTGCTGGGCATAAATGGGCTGCAACGTTCTCAGAGAGCCACTCAAGCCAGCACGATGGAGGGCTCCAGTGACTTGCCTCCCTTCAGGAATGGGTAGGGGCCTGAAGCATAAGCTGGGTAGTGGGGTTTTAACACGCACCAGGTCAGCCCTAAAACCTGCAGTACGGGTCTGGGTGTTACCTGGGCCCTGGGCCCCTCAGTTCCAGAGGGACAGAGAACTGCTTGAGGGAGTCCAGCACAGAGCCACAAAGACAATGAAGGGAGTGGAACATCTCCCTTGTGAGGAAAGGCTGAAGGAGCTGGGTCTCTTTAGCTTGGAGAAGAGGAGGCTGAGGGGTGATCTCATAAATGTTTATAAATACGTCAAGGGTGAGTGTCAAGAGGATGGAGCCAGGCTCTTCTCAGTGATGTGCAATGACAGGACAAGGGGCAATGGGTACAAGCTGGAACATAGGAAGTTCCACAAAAATATTAGAAAAACTTTTTTCCCTGTGAGGGTGACAGAGCCCTGGCACAGGCTGCCCAGGGAGGTTGTGGAGTCTCCTTCTCTGGAGACATTCAAAACCCGCCTGGACGCGTTCCTGCATGACCTTCTCTAGGTGATCCTGCTCTGGCAGCAGGGTTGGACTAGATGATCTTCTGAGGTTCCTTCCAACTCCTGGCATTCTTTGATTTTGTGACCCAGCTGGGCTGAGAGGTGGACTGTAAGCTTTTCCTCAGAGCTCTATATGACCCTTCAGACACTCTGTCTTCCCTCCTGGAGAGAAGCCCTTCCTGACAGGATGGCAGACCTAGGCTTGGGAGTCCTTGGCCACCAGCTAGCATACTTTTACATGGGAATCCTGGCAGTACTAGGCTGCAGGGGACACCCCTTGCCTACCAACCCAGGCAGGACTTACGGTTGTAGAGGGTGATAGCATGCAGGCAGTTCAGCAGTTGCCGCTTATACTCATGGATTCGCTTGACCTGAACATCGAACATGGACGAAGGGTTGATCTTGACCTTGTACTGCTCCTCCAAGTAGGCTGCAAACTTCAGCTTGTTCTCCTGGCAAGAAAATCTGATGAGGAATGGTTCCCACACCACTAGTGAACAATCGCTGCTGGGATGTTTGTGAGAGCGTGGTGCCTTTTACCCTTCTTCCTTCCACCTCCAGCGCATGTTACCTGCTTGACTTTCGCCACATCCCTGATAAAAGTCTCGTTATTGATGAAATCCAGGAGTTTCTTCAGCTGGCTCAGATCTGTGATAAAGCCTTCGCCAATTTTCTAGAAGAACAAACCAAGAGATGGAAGTTCCACTTGTGATGGATGTCCCCTCACCCAGTGCACAACTGTGCTTCCCTAACCGAGATGCCACAGTTCCATTGGGAATTGGAAGAGGCACTCTGGCCAGGAAAAGGGGCACAGTTTCTTACAGCAAGGTTACTTCTCTGTGTCATCAGGGGGCCCAAAGGTACATGGGAAACAGGGCACTTGGAAGGACCTGAATAAGTCCCTCTCTCTCAAGGAGATTTAGAGGAAGGATGTGTGCACATGTACTAGGGCCTCCTAGCAGCTGGAGAAACTGACAGGCAGGACATAAAGACACATTTAACTGCAGGACATTATTAAGCTAAGGCACATTGCAGTGTGAAGCAAAAACCTGTGCTAAAGGGCCTGGTAAACAGAGGACACAGAACTGGGGCTGGAGCTCTGAGGGAGCTCCTTTCTGCCTGTGAAGCTGGACGGTTTTGCAGACACCCCGTTTCACACACCATGGTACTGCCTGACAGGTTGTGTGTAGCCACTGTGAGGGCAGGCAACCAGATCCAAATTTCTCTAACTTTTTTTTTTGCAATCTCTTCATCACTGACTTTAAAGCCCTGTGAATCTCACACCTACATGTGCAACAGGTGCGCTCCTGCCAGGCTGTCCTCACTCACACTTGCCGGGCATTAGCCTCAGGTCTGATCAGACCACACAAAAAGATGATCAAGAAGCAAACGGATCACACTCAGCCCCTCGCTTCAGATGCTTGTGACTCACCTCAGCAATAACGTCAGCCAGTCCCGGATTACACAGCAGGAGCCAGCGCCTCGGCGTGATCCCATTTGTCTTGTTCTGAAACTTCTCCGGCTCCAGTTCATAGAAATCCTTGAACCTGAAACACCAGGGAGCTCTGAACCACCCACCAGCTTCAGCTAGGCCCCTCCTGTACGTGCTGCTCCTGTTTCAAAGCAGTCTCTACGGATCTGCCTGTAACACACCTGAACTCTCTGTGCTGCTTCTCACCCCCTTTCCTCAGCTGTAAAGCTGACAGTTTCACCAGCTCCAAAGGGAGATGAGTTAGACCTTTCATGCACAAATGAAACGGTCTCCCTAGCCCGCTGTGCCCAACCAAAGCAGACCTTGACACCTGATCGCTCCAGCTAGCCCTGCCAGGCTTGCAGGCGAAGCCCAGTAAGCAGAGAGGGTGTGTTCCTTGGGTGTCCCCCAACTCACACTGAGTTCTTCACAATGTCAGAGTGGATACGGGCCACGCCATTGACCGCATGGGAGCCAATCACACAGAGGTGTGCCATGTTAATACGTTTGCAGTCTCCTTCCTCGATCACTGACATCCTCCGGAGACGGTCAATGTCCCCTGGGTAGAGGGCCGCCACGCGCTGCAGGCAGGCAGGCAGAAAGAGAGACATTAGTGACCCAACCATAGGAACACTCCCATCCTAAAGGCAGCCAGATCAAGGCCCCCAGAGTTCCCACATCAGGCCCTTACGTCCAGATGCATTTGGTTCAGGGCATAAATGATCTCCAGGTGACGCGGCAGCAGCTTTTCAAACATGGAGACCGGCCAGCGCTCCAGGGCTTCAGGCAGCACAGTGTGGTTGGTGTAGGCACAGGTCCGTTTTGTGATTTCCCAGGCCTGTGTTACAGACAGCAGGTTAACAGGTGCATAACCAGGCCAGGAGGAGAAAGAAAACCCCATGTGAGAAGACGACAGCAGCTCTTTCCCCTGCAAGGTTGGGCACAGACCTCCCGGCTCTGCTCACCTTGTCCCAATCCACTTTCTCCACATCCACCAGGATCCGCATGAGCTCTGGGATGGACAGGGCAGGGTGGGTGTCATTCAGCTGAATGGCCACCTGCAACACAGACTTGCTGGGCTCAGATCTGGCAGTGACAGGACCGTGACGGTGTCCCACACGCACGGGGTTGGGGTGAGGCTCAGCCCCAAGCCTCTTCTCACAGCACACACACTAGAAACAGACAGAGCTCCCAGGAACGGAGCTACTCGACCTTTGCAAGTTTTGCTTGAAACTGCAAATCTTTACCCTGGGAAAACAGGCTTGGAGATCACCTGTTTTCCAACGAACGTTGCCAGGGTCTTTGTATACAAAGTCCTGAGCATCGTGGTCTCCCTTGTGATCCGTAGGTCTGGCTGAAATGTCCCCGGACCCTCTCTGCCCACAAACTCACCTTGTCTGGGAAGGTTTCAAAGCACGTTCTCACAGGGTCTCGACAGCCAAATTTGGAGGATTTGAAGCGGCGGATGATGTCCTGGAGGGTAGCAGCCACCACAAAGTACTCCTGTTTCAGCCGCAGCTCCTTGCCTTCAAAGAACTGCAAGTGGGGGAATCACAGTCAGCAGTGCTGCAGCTGGCATACCCAGTTGCCCGCCAAACCCTTCCAGTTCTGACGAGCTTCCCCACAGGCCTCACAGGTTCAGGACCTTGTCAGGGCAAATGTGGATATTTCTCACACTGCTTCTGATGGGGCAGTGACTGTAGGGACTGAAAAGGGGCTTGGCATCCCAAACAGCTGTTTCCAGAGAGCCACAGAACCTGTGACATCCACACTACTCCTACAGAGGAAGCACAGCTCCCTCCTGCAAGATCCCCTGCAGGGTTTTTGGACCAAGGATTTTGGACATATCAGCTGCCTCCCATACAACACTACACTTCATACTGGTCTATTTTAAAACACCATCAGGAATGAGAGGGTGCAGGTAAAGTGCAGGAGAGGAGCTTTTCCAGCACAGATGCTAACCCATGAGTAGACAGTGAGGGCCCTTCCCTTCTGGATCCGCTGCCCAGAGACCGCAAGGCCTGGGACAGTCCCTGCAGTGAGAAATCCCTTGAACTGGGGCTGGAAACAAGTCTGCCCTCACAGCCACTTCAGAAACAACTTACTTTTGCAAAGGGTAAGCCAGTGAATTGGTAACTGCCTTCAATCTGAAGGAGTAATAAGTCTTCCCCTCCTTGGAGTAGCAGACAGAGCAGCTGTACAATGTGGACCAGACTCTCAGCTGCCGTTAGTCACAAGAGACCCTCTGGAGCCAGCAAGAGCTGTGTCTGTTCACTGAGAATTATGGGGCCAACGTATTGTATTAAAAATCCTCAAATCACAAGAATAAACATCTGGCGGCCATGACCTTCCAGTGTTTGCAAACAAAGCAATACAATTACAGGGACGAAGATCCTGAGCAGCAGGGAAGAGAAGCAAAAGAGTCACTCACATTGTCATTCGGGTACAGGACTCGGGATATATTTTCTGCCAGGTTTCTGTCCAGCACCGCCTCGATGTAGTCACCCACATTGACTGCATCAAGAGACAAATACATACGGTAGCAGCTGCAGGGATTCAGGCAGGTCCCTGACCCCGTGCTTTTCCCTCTTGTCTTGTGAAGATGCATAACAGGAACATGCAAGCTGGTATTAATGAAATATGAATGGGAATGTACATGTGTGAAAGGCACCCGAGAGACAGGAGGAGATAGGATAAGAGAAAGGCATATCTTCATGCAGTTTCTCAAGACACACATATGAGGAAGAACAGACAGAAACTGAATATGGAGAAGTCAAAAAAAAAAAGGAAGTAAGTGACTAGTCATCTTGCTTAAGGACTAAGGAGAAAAGGGGCAGAGCAGAGAAGCACAAAGATCACAATCACACTCAACTGCTAGAAAGTACAAAAGGCTCATCCAAAACCCAGTGTGAGCTGCTAATCAAGAACTGAGGAGACATTATGAGGACTCAAGAGTCATTGCCCCTCATCCCACACAAGTTCTCCTGGCAGGGCTGCTTGGACACACACATCTCCACGCTTGCCAGTAAAGAAGAGTAAATCAAATCAGTCTAGTTTAAAACCATTCCCTTCTGTAAGAGCCTGGGTACATTAGTTGCCCTGGGTCTGCTTTTCAGCACTACAATTAAGAGCCTGAAAAATGCACTAGAGAGGTCACATATAGACCCAAAGGAAACCTACAGCACCGTGCGCTGTGCTGCTCTTTTCCTTTGACATTAAGGGATGCTGCTGCACACAAAATGACCCTTCATGCAGCTCATTCTGTGATGCTGGCAACGCAGCAGCAGGTGGCTTATTCGCAGGGCAGGTTTTGAGGGCATGATAAGCGTGATGGGGGCGGAAGGAGGACGCATGGGTGTCCTGGTGCATGAGGGCCCTGGAAGCAGTTGGAGCTAGCACGATCCAGCGCTGTGTTTTGGAGGTAGCCAGGAGATGAGCAGGCCGGATGGGGAGTGCTGTGCCACGTGCTACGCACGCAGGACAACCATGTCCCAGCCTGGCCCAGTGAGAGGCAGTGGAGTGACAGCACTTACACTCTTGGAGGTTGAAGTCATTGGGCGCTTTTGCAGACCACAGCCTCATGGTGTTTACAGTGTTGTTCTTGTATCCTGGCACTGGCGTGTCGTAAGGCATAGCGAGGACAACCTGCAAAAGGACAGCGTTCCCCTCTGATTAGGAGCACAGAGGCCTCAGAGAAGGTGGAAAAGTGGCTGAAACCCCTGCAGGAAGAAACTAGAGGACACAGACAACTCCTGGCTGTGCTAAGAATCTCATCTCACCTCAGCACTTGCTGAGCTTCGCAGACTTCTCTGCTATCATCATGGGCACTTCAAGCACCCACTGGCAAAGCACTAATAGGAGAAGCAGAGCTGTCTGGAGCTTTATGGACAAACTGGAGTTACAAGTCCATCAGTGAAATGTAAAAATAGAGTTGCAAGCAACTTGCTGACCTTCCTATCCAAACTGGTGTTAGCTATTAGTGGTTCATCAGAGCACCGCAAGCATCCTCAGCTGGCCACTGTAATTCTGTCTGTTCTGAGGTAGGGCCAGGGCAGCTGGGACCTTTGTGTTTCCCTCTGGGATAAACTCCACAGCTTGAATCCTGTTCGGTAGCCTTCTGCAGCCTGCCAGGACCAAACCCTACCACTGCAGCACCACTCCCAGAGCAATTCACCTAAGGTCTGTTAAACCTGTCAGGGTAAATCCACTGAAATCTCCAGCACCCAAACTGAACATGAATGTGAAACTATTAGTGCAGTCCACGGATGATGCTTAAGCATGAGGATGCTGCACACATGGCTACAGGGAGTAACACTGGGGCTCCCAGCTCAGCTTACACCAGCCAGGCAAGATATGGGTGTGTGGTTTCAAGTTTGTGTGCTCCAGCTCACTACTGTGCCAACATCTTCGTGCCTCCAGACTTGCTGAGTGGCAAAGGCAAGGCACCCCAACCTCAGCCTGGAACGAAGAGGCTGAAGGCTTGCGGCAGCAGAGCTGAACAGTACTTGCAGAGCAAGGCCCTGATGCTGCAGCACGGAGCCTGGGCCACCTCTCCGACCAGGAGCCAGCATCCTCCTGAACAAGTCAGGGCTGTCCCAAAGCAAAGACATGAGAGGCAGCAAAGAACTGAAGGAGCTGTGCTTACAGGGCAGGGAAAACCCAGGCAGATCAGCATGTTGGCCCTTAACAGCCTCTTCATGCTGACATCAGCAGCAGCTCCCCTCTGGGGAAAATCAGCAAGAGCTCAGGCTCTCAGAGCTGCTATTACCAGCTCCGAACATGGAAGCAGGCAGAAAGCCTGCCCCGCCTGAGCCCCGGGACTGGGGCACACATCACATGAACTGAGCGATGCTATATTTGGAGACTGAGTCTTTGGCTTTTTTGAGCCTTTCCAACTTGTTCCCTTAACGGCACTATTTGAAAATTCACCTCCTTGTAAGAAGCAGTGTTCCCACTGTGCTGCTAGGGATCCCTGAAATCCCAAACTACCGCTGGCTGAAGAAGCAGACTGAAAAGCACACTGAAAGGCAATGGCAGTCGAGCCCCAGATGGATGTCTGCTTCCCCAGAGAGCACAGTGCCTCCAGGCTCCTCACAGGGCTGTGGTGTTGAACCCCTGCACTCCATGTGTCCTGGGAATGGCCTAGGTCACGGCACAGCCTTCAACAACCAATGTCCGTGGAAAAGAACCTGATTTATTTCTTCTCTGAGTGGGCCCAGGCAACTCTGCACCTCAGTTTCAGCTTTTGGTGCTCAACAGAAGGGCTTGGTTTTATGACTGTGTGCACCTTATATGCTCAGAGCTGGCTCATCAAGCTGAGAGACTCTTGAACATCATGGGAACAAGGCTAGGTCATGTCCCTGAATGCCACAGAAATTCCTAGTTCTTCCTTCCTCCATCCTGGGCCGTGCTTAGACAGGAGAAGCTGAAACACCTTCAATCCTCTTAATAAATCTGTGCCTCTTTAAAGCTTGCCTCCCTGAGCTGTGAGACTGGAATGCGTTTACGACACAGCAGCCTGTACTCTGGGCAGGCACGTTCTCCTCAAGCACAGCATTACCTCCCCAACTGTGAGAGGCTGAAGAAGCGTTTGCTCTCCATGATGCCACAAAACAAGGTCTCCAAGCAGACTGGAGACTTGAAACTGTGCCTCCAGCCTCCCCTTGACAGCACTTTACCCATGAGGCTAGTCTGGGAAAAATGAACTTGTTCTGATCACCGGAGCTAAACACCCACGGGACAGCTCCACGGCCACCCCGCCAGAGGAATTGCCACTCACAGCAGCAGTGGCAGAACCACCTGCAAAACCCCGGGGTCTGAGTGAGTGGCAGCCAGGAGCGGTGCAGAAGGACCCTAGGAGAGCTCCCAGGGATAGTCCTCCTCTGACCTAAATCCAAGTCAGACCATGGGGCTTCACCCTGGAGATCAGTAGAGAAGGAGGCTCCAACAGATCTGAAGTTACAGCTGTGACTGCATATCATCCCTCTTTTTCCTCAAACCCTTCTGCAGCTCTAGCCAACAAAGCTACCTTCATAACTCCAAGTGTAGCCGACAGACTTTTGCCAGAAGGGCAGGGAAGCAAAGTCTGACCACCCCAGGCTGCCTGGGGGCAGACTCTCCCGTTCCACACAACCTTGGCCCGTCCTCCCTCAGCCCAGCACCGAAGCAGACGTTGGTACCTGGGTGTCGACCCACTTCACACCCTCAGGGGTGTGATCGACACGGCCGTAGAAGTGCACGGGGAGCATGTACTCGGGGCGAGCTTTCTCCCAGGGATTGCCGTAGCGCAGCCAGTCGTCAGCCTCCTCCACCTGCAAGAGGCAAACGGAGTTCAAGCAACGGCTTGTGTCTCCAAGTGAGGGCTAAACTAGCAAAGCTACTTTAAAAACAAAGCTATAGAAAGCTGGCTTTAAAAATGGATATGTAGAGGCCTCTAGAGGACAGCTGGGCTTTTCAAAACATGGATGACTACATCCCAGCTGATAGAAATAAATCGGCCTTTATGTGCTTTGCAGAGCTGTACAGGTTTAAACCATCCAAACTGCGCTCAAACCTGTCTCAATTTGACCGCGATAGTTGGGATGTGGTTCCCTAGAAGCTCATCGGTGCTGTTCCTGGCCACAGACCACCCCTGGTGACACAGGCCTTGTTAACTGCTCTGCCCTCTCTGCCAGGGAGGATTTCTCCTGACTGCTCTTAACAGCACCAATGGGAGTGAAATGAATTCAGCAGACTCACCGAGGCTCATTGTGCACCACGACATCAGAGGGGCTGAGGATCCTGGGAAAGTGCCCTGTGCCTGCCGGCATTTCTCTGCCAGGCAGGGAGCAGGTCTGAGCCACAACCCAGCACCGCCACCATCCCTGTTCTTTTTGAAGGAACGTTAAGCCAGTTACAGTGGCGCCATTTATAGGGCCCAGCACTGCAGCTTCTTTGTGGGGAAGGAGGGAAAAAACACCCTCAAACCTCTCACCCTCCCTGACTTATGGAGAGCTATTTAAAGGAGAAAAAAAAGATCCTTTATGCTCAGAAGCAAGGCAAGTCTCCTAATGGCAACCATTTCCAGATATACACTAGGGAAAACTGCCAGCTGGGGCAGTGGTTTAGCCTATTTTCACTTGCAAAATACTGTGATTATTAATGCTAGAGGAAAGTCCCTGTTTGAGCCCCTGCTGCCAGTCTCCCAGGGAACCTGCAGGAGCAGCAGCCCCCCAGGGCACTTGCACATGTTCTGGCACATTCAAATTCATCCTCTGCCAGACACCTTTGTGAGGTGTTTGGTCACATCTCCATCCTCAGCCTGACTTCTTGCCCACCCAGTGCCGGGCTGGATGGTACTTTTGGGTTGTTGCAGTTGTGCTGAGGAGCCCCAGGCAGGGAGATCTCTAGTCCCAGCAACATCCCATGGGCTCAGCTCCAACACCATCTTGCTGGGTTGGTGACCAGATGAGCTTGCACATGTTTCTAGGGGAGCACCTGCCACACATACACCCCATCACCCTCACCACTTCTCTTTAGTGAGGCAGCCAGAGCCCGAGGGTCAGCAGAAGCAGTAAGAACTGATGGCCCATTTGGCACCAGGTGATGAGCTCAAACGTCCAGTTTATCAGCAGCTCAAGGTGCTGCAGCGTCACTGGTGTGGCCAGGCCTTGTCCACAGGCAGAGGTGGCCATCACATCATGAAACAGAAGGAGAGAAAGGGTGACCTAAGTTGGTCAATGTACCTGCCAGCCATCGACAATCTTCTGATTGAAGATACCGAACTCGTAGCGGATGCCGTAACCGTACGCTGCCAGCCCCAGTGTGGCCATGGAGTCCAGGAAGCAAGCTGGAAGAGCAGAGCATGGTCATGCTGTGAGGAACCTCACCCCTCACTCGCTACACCTGCTACAGCGTGCTGTGCACGGGGTCAAGGAGCTGTCACGACATTTATTACTGGAAAACATTTATCACTCAGAGGAAATCCACGTGCAGAAGGGACAGAAGGGGACAGCCAGCAGTAGGACCTCATGTACATCCTACTGAGCCACCATGAACACCCCAAAGTTGTTGGTGACAAAGAGCTGTCACCAAAACCCCAAATCTAGCCTTGTCACAGTGAGAGCTCTTCCAGGAGGTGCCCACTCCTTGCTCTAAGCCCGCCTGCCCCCTAAAGCAGGGCTTCTGATCTCAACTTGCTGCTCCACCAGCTACTTTGCTATTATCACTTTCTAAGCAAACCCTTCCTGCTCTCAGTCTGGGGCAGCTCTGGTAAAGATAAGCCGCAGCATTTCCATTGCGTTAGGAAGCTCTCATCTCCAGCAGTGCCGTGGGACAGGCAGACTAAAACAGCCCCCAACAATCTGCCTACGTGAGAGCTGCTTGGGTGCCTCTGAAAAGTGAGAGATTGCACGGGGAGGTGAGAAGAAAGATTCCAGACAGCCTCTTTCAGCCACAGCTCTGCCTGCTGTGCTGCAAACTACACGATTACATCTCCTGGATGCTCTCACTGAGGAGGGCAGGGGGGGCTCATTTCTGGCCAGCCAGGAGACAGCAGGAGGGGACTATGCCGCTGAAGGGCTGCAGGGCAGATGCAGGCTGAGGTCTGGATGCTGTTCTGCTGTGGTGCCAGTGGCAAGGGTGTGACAGTCTCCAGCCAGGCCACCCTCAGTCCCTGTGCACTCTGTGCAAGGAGGGGACTCCCCTCTTCCCATATTTACCTGCCAGGCACCGTTTCCCAGACCAGCATCTTCTTCAATTTCTTCCAGCTCCTCCAAGTCCAAACCCAGCTGTCGGGGAAAGAGCCACAGCAGAATGTGTCACCACCCGAAGTCCATGCCCTGGGGCTGCTCTCCAAGGAGGGCAAACACAGATCCCAAAACAACCCACACCATGGGAAACTAAACCCAGGGCAGTCTCTGCATCCTGTCCCCCTCCCCACAAAGCATGTCACCAGCCTCTGGTCCTTGGGCAGCCTAATTAATCAGAAATCCATTTAACCTATCATCAAACATCGCTTTCCCATGAGCTAGGTTTCCTCAGAGACCTCAAACAAAACACCCGTCTCCTGGCAGCCCCGCACGCCAAGAGGCCCTTCCACCGAACTCGCCGTTAGGAGACAGGATGGCGAACGGCCAAGTCGGCCATGCGAGGGACTGCCGAATCCTGCCTGGGTACGTGCACTGCCCCTCTGCTTGCACCCGCCTGGGCCTTGAGGAAGGGCAAAACTATGCTGGCAGCTGGGTACTGTAGCGTTGCCTCG